TTGATTTGACATGTCAGTAAGAGAGTATTTTAAATTGATTTATGAATAGAATATTCCTGCTATTGAAAAATGAAAACAACGCTTATCCTATAACAAAAAGAAAATTATTTCCTTTAAAGTAGGTTTTTCCATTATGACGTTTGGGATAATATACAAGAAAAAAGCAAGAGTCATTTTTTTTTTTGACAATCATGTACGACGATAACAGACAAAAAACAGCTACAAGAATGTTAAATTAGCGTTTTTATCGACTTAGAACATGTAAACGCATTTATCACTTCAATTTGTATTTTAAACACATTTTTCATAGTTTATTTTAGTGCATTTTGATTATAAACTGTTAAAAAAGGTTTTGCTTTGCTACTACGAAATGAATCACATTTAAACAAGAAATTTCCGTTCTTGTCTAGATCATCTTAAATTGATTGAATATTATGCATTACAGTCTTTCGCATATTATTTAAGTATTTTTTTACGGTATAGTTGTGAAAACACACTTGTCTAACTAAAACTGAAGTAAACAAATCGTTTTGACAATCACAACATGTTTCTATAACTTAATACTCAATAATTTGTATTGAATGCTTTTCGTTGAATGGTTTTGGCTAGAAAATGATATATATATGTGTATATTTATAATTTTAACCGGAATATTCCGTAAAACGATATCTTAAGTGTATCTCATATACTTTCTAAAAAATTTACAAATCTATGGACATGAAAATCGTTGTGGTTTGTTGATGACATCATGCTAGCTTCTTGGCAATTTTCTCAAGCAAACAATGATAAAATGGTGTGACGCGCTCAAACTGCCACCATGTAGATCTTAGTGTGCTATGAATATTCTGAAAAAAGTTCGGACTATTGGTTTATTGTTGTCGAGATATTACATTTTTACAGTATTCTTTTTATGACAATGCCGTAGTCCCCTTCAGAACTCTTTAAAAAAAACGTTTCGAATTTCAACCTGAAAATTTACACAGAGGTAGACTATAACGAGAATAGTTTGTTGTGAAAATTTCAGAATTTTTGATTCCTTCTATTTTGAAATAAGAACGTAAGAATATATCGGTGTATATTAGGGAAGTAAGAACGTGTTTTTGCCGTAGTCCTGTCTTAGGATAGCAAAAATAAAATGATCTGAAACTTTTACAATAAACTCTTCTCATTATGATCTATCTCTGCGCAGTTTCAAATCGAAATTTGAAACTTAGTTTTTTGAGAGTTCTGAGAGAGATCACGTTATTCTAATAAAAGATGTCGTAAAAATACAATATCTTAGTAGAAATAAACCAATAGTCTGAACTTTTTTCAGGGTATTCATAGCTCACTAGGATTTACATGACGAACATACTTCTGACTCAAAAGCGATTTTATACTTACATCGTTCTTTTCTCTTCTGACTCGTCTGATGTTTACAGTACCTTTTTTTTTTGTTTCTTAGAAATGAGCACATCATATTCCAATAATAAATTATCGATAATAAAACGATTCTATTTTGGCATTATTATCATTAATATTTAAAATAAGCAAATGAGAATTTTGCTATTTCACTTATGTCTCTATACATATATTTCTTGTTATTGCTTTCTTTCGCAATAAATATGCATATACATTTCATCACATATAGCGTTTTGAGTTTTCTCTTCCATTCTTCTTCTTATATCCAAAGTAATAAAATAGAACGAGAAAAAAAATTATTTTCTTCTTTTTTTCATATATTCATTCATATTCGATCCTGCTTATTGAGCATTTGAGAATATTCTGTGGGAAAAATTAGAGTGTCTGTGGTTGTAAATGAATAGAGGACTCATATCGGCACTAACAATCACACCATGCCACTCACCCCCCATCCAAACTGTTAAAATCGTTTGAAATGTCCCAAAAATCCCATTTAAATGATCACATATATTTAAAATTTATTCATTTAAACAAGGAAAGCGTAGTAAACAACTAAATGTTTTTTAAGTAGTTTAAACACTGTTTTTTCCACGTTTGCTTGTCGCCCTGAACAGTTATCAATATGTATAAAATAATCATGTTCTATTACGTAGTGAAATAGTTGATGAACATCAAAGATGAAATTATTTGTTTTCATATTGACAACAATATTCAATAAAAATACAATAAATGATGTTATTAGAACATTATTAATGGTTAAAATATCAATGAAAATAAACATTCAACAGGATTAATAGAAAATATTGTTAAAAAATAATATCAAAATGAAATTTGTAGAAAGATTTAAAACCAAAGCCATATGTTCAAAAATAAATGAAAAGAAAAGAATCAAATCAATAATAAAGTTAATGAAAAGCTTGAAGAGAGTCAATAGCATTTGATATATTGAAAATTGATTTGTTAAACAATTTTAAATTCACTTTTTCATATTATAAATTAACTAAAATAATAAACGAAATCTTCATTTTATTTCATAGTATATTGAATAAAACTAAGAAGTATCACATAAAAAAAAAACAACAAACATTGACCTTCGTTTAGAAAACTACGTGTTAAATCTCTTATGTCTGATTATCAAGTGAAAGATAGTGAAGAATATGTGAATAAATGTATACTATCAAGTCTATAAATATTTAAGTTGAGTTGCAAAATAAAAAACATAAAACACTCAGCAGGTGATGAAAGAGAATAAAGAAAAGGTGTTTGATTCTTAAATTAAATATACAGGAGAAGTCAACAAAGTTAACATCAGTCATATAAAGAAATTACGAATAATATACAAGATGATTTTTAATGGCGTCATATGGTAGTCACATGTTTAAACGAGGTGAAAAAAAAACAAGTTTGACAAAGTTTTTGTTATTATTATTTGTTTTTTAGCTACAATATCATTTTATCATTAAAAATAAATAAATTTATGATAAAATGACATTAAAGTCTTATAATCTAAATACAATAGAAATACTATTAATAATTCTTTAATCAAAAATGTAATCAAAATAATGAATGAAGAATAAAAGTCAAGTAGTATACGGTGAATGTAACATACTTGTCGTACAGAGCTGCCAACCTACTAGACATTGGCAGACCACCAAGTCATCCCAAAGACTAGGCCAAAGTTTGAAAATTTTAACCTGGTCTGGTTAACTGACCAGGTCAAATTATTGACCTGGCTCTTACGTTTTGGAAATCAAATGTTGACATATCGCTTTACTATTCGAGAATACTTTAACAAATTCATTCAAATCCAGCAACAGATACTTGAATCGAAGATCAATTTAATGTCGTGAGACTTACATTGACTGTCAGAAGAAATTATTTAGATCCAAACCAATTAGATAGTAAGCTTTGTGCTCGTAATGCTGCGAAAATTAATTATCAATTGTAAATGTCCTTGTCTATTATTATAAGTATTACTTATTTCCTACATTTTCGTTATACATTTTCTTTTAGTTCTTTCTTTATAGGCCAAATCAAATATTGTTTGTACTATCATGATTGTATGTTTTCGATTTTGCGAAATAGAACTAATATGATTAAAAACATTGTGTTTATTCAAGTCTTTCTTCTGTGAATATTTTTTTATATTGTCTCTTGGTTTTAATTTGCTATCTCATGCAAGAATTTGTTACTATCTTATCTTTATGAAAATAAATTGGGTGTACTATCAATGTATACAGAAAGAAAGTTTTCTCAAGCTTTGTAAACGATATGAAAGTGTCACTGCTATTGCTTTTGGATTATACGAAGTAAGTTTTTTTTTGAAAAATTTTTGACATCGAGGATCAGTTTTTAGGGATATTCTTGTCGAGTTTCATTTTCAAAATTTCTGAAAGCTAAGATAATAAAAGAAAAAAAGCATCGAAAACTTTCACTCACCATCGCCGCTGATTATTATATCGGCTTACATTTCTACTAGCTTATTTTTCGTTGACTTTATTTCATATTCTATATTATTTTCTACTCTATATGTCATTTCTGACAAAGTTTCACTATCGAACATAATTATCTATTGTTAAAAGAGCATGTTTAGATAAATTTCGAAGTCAACTATGATGCTGAGATATTCAATTATGATCGACAATGATTTATTGATCGAATACGATCGTTATAAAGTCTCTTTAACTCCTTGCTTTATTTATTACATGATCATCATTATATTCCAATAGAAAACAATACAAGATGTTGAGTTAAAAATCAAGAAAAACTCAGCAAATTCAGACAACTTTCAATATGTTATGAGTACATGAAGTTTATACATTGTAATACGGACTGGAATGCCTTTTTCCATATACTACTTTTAAATTTGAAAGTTTTTTCCAAAATTGATAATAAAGATTACTAACTTTTATGAATATGGTTTAAATATTACAACAATATATCAAATTCAAAAATCCAGATAAATTTTTTCAAAAAGAACTATTTAAACAAATTAATTTATTCAAATGCATTTCTTAAAGAATATTTAACATCAGAATCAAATAATATAGTAAAACAATAGAAATTTATCTACGAAGGTTCTTTTTCATAGTTTTCTTGAGCATAGGGAAGACAGAAGGAAATAACTATTATCTTTCAACTTGTGTTTTTAAATTTTTTGCTTTTTATTTTAAAAAATTGAATTGAACTTGATTTCTTCGAAGTTTTTACACATTTTCATTAATTATTCAATTTTTTATTTCAAGAATATTTTTGTTTTTCAATAGATCTTCATAATTCTAGTATTCATACGATAATATTACTGTAATCTGTACACATTCAAATTATAAATATAAAGAGAACGAATAGAATAAAATAATTGATGAAACTTTATATCTTTGTCCTCTAAAACTAGATCAACAAGTTTTATATCACAAAGAAAATACAGCGACAGAAATAGGTCTCATAAAAAAAATAAACAATATGAATTTCATTCGTTGGTTACTAATTCTTTTGCTAGTGAAATAAATATGAGTTTTTAATTTAATATCAAAAAATGACAAAAAAAATGCGCTATTGTACTTTTATTCTGTTATTATTATTCTTAATTAACTTCTCTAATGTCTAATATAATTTCTCTTTATTATCTTTTTCAGTTTGTTATTTTTCTCTATATTATTCCAATTTATATTACTATTGAAACTACAATAAAAATTGTTTTTCTCAACGGTTTAAATGTAATTCGTTGTTCAGATCATCAAGTACAAGTATATAAATTACCATATTATACTGGAGTAACATTCAACAGTATAATAACATGTGATACAAAAGATGAAATCTATTCTCCACAATATACTGGTTTTAAATGGGGTAAATTAAAACTTATTTGTTCTTCGCATGGTACTAAAGTACAGGAAGAACAAGTTATTATAAAATCCAAAAATGGTGATATTCAAGATATTCCTTCTGCTAAAGGTCAATTAGGTCAATCGACAGAATTGTACGAGTTAATAGTCAAATCTAGTCTTATTTCTGACACCAGAATAGTATCAAGGGAACAACCAGCAGATGATGCATATTTTGATGAAAATACTACACCAAAAGAAAGAAGAATTTACATATGGTTTCCAGATCATCCAATTATTTGTCGAATAATATTTACTGGTGATGAAAATAATCCATGTCCTTCAATGCATAATCAAGAGATCGATGATGTTGATTATGCATGTTATTATAATCCAGGTGCTGATGGACTACCAACGAAAGAACAAATGGAAGCTGAATTAAAACAAATAGAAGAAACAGATGATAAACCAACTACTGTTGCGTATGTGTTAGAGTTAGGAGCACCGGTATGTATAGAATGTCATTTTATTTAGTTTAAAACTCTCAACTCATAGAAATAATTTATCTAATTTCGTAAAAAATTATTTAATTAAATAGATTATTTAGATCAAATTTAACATATTCTTCTATTGAAATAGGAGAAATGTTTAGTAGATCGATTCGAAGAAAGATATGTCACAAAACTGATTAGAAATAAAATTGTAATAATCACACTTACTTCCTGACTTCGTACCTTTTTTTTTTAGTGGAAACATACTGCCATGACCTTCCTTTTTTTCTTTTTATCGTGAGTCCATTTTTAGTTTATTACACATAGTTAATAGTTATGTTTTGTAAAGAATGAAAGTGTTCAATTCTACTCAGCAGGTATATACATAGACCAGGCTTACAAAAAGTAGGCCTATTTGAATATCTGATACCAAGCATTTAACTTAAATCCAAATAGTAGTTTACATAGCTAATGAAGCTCTCTATTGAATGCATTCCGTACCAAAATGTTATAGATGAATTACGAGAGAAAGATTTCTGAAAAACCAAACATAGTAGTTTTCAAGTCTTAGAAGACTGTAAAAAATTAGTGTTTAAGGTGTTATCTTCAAAGAACATAAAATCCTGAATAAAATAACGGAACACCGTATTTCCTATGACCCTCACTTAAAAAGTTAAAAGCACTACAAAAAAATGGAGAAGAAGCAAAATTTATCACAACATTGCTAAAAATCGCCTAAAAAACACTTGTTTTTTATTTTCTGTGATACTTATAGTTTCTTCAGAGATGATCATAGGAAATTCAATGATGCTCTCGTTTTATTCAGCATTTTATGCTTTTTAATGCGAGACTCTTAAAGAACTAATTTTCACACAGCCGGCCAGAACCTGAAAACTACCGTATTTGATTCCCAGAAACCTTTCTGTCATAATCTATCTACGACATTTCAGTATGGAATGTATTTGATGGAGAACTTCATTAACTATTCAAATCACTATTTGGATTTGAATTAAATGCTTAGTATCATTGAAAAAAATCAAAAATACTTAAGTCTTATATGTTTGAACGATACTGTATATTTGTATGGATCATTTTAGGCAAAACAGGACATACTCAGCTTTCATTTAACTTTGATTCTTTACAAGAGTTATTTTTCTGAATAAGGTTTTCTAGCATAGACATATGAAAAAAAGTTGACTCTTTCAGCTGACTATTAATTGAAAACTAATTAACGAATATCTTTCTAACCATACGAGAAAGAAATTTGAAAACTTCAGAACAGACTCTCTACGACATGAATCGTACTTTTGGTGAAATTTTCAACAACAGTAGACTTCAAAAACCTGATTTTTTAGAGATGCTATTCATTCCTGAAATAAAAATTTTTGTTTTGACATCATCTAGAGATTCTGTAGAAAGATTTGTATCGTTTGAAATTGGTTCTAAACTTCTCATTCGATTATAAGAGCATATTTTCGTATGTATATTCGTATTCCATCACGTCGTAAACGCAAAGTAAATTGATTTTTTGAAAAATCTAGGCATGTTCAAAAGAAACGTTGTATAGGGATTTTGTAGCTTCAGAAGTTGTCTACATAATATACTATTTAGTTTTCAAAAATGTTGTCTCAATCTGGATTTTTCTAAAGTAAAATGCATGAAGTGAAAGTCGATGTTCTTTTACGTGTCACATTACTAACGCTAGGTTTTCTTTTTACTGATAATTTCTCTGGAGAAACGAACTCAATATCTTGAGAGACACGTATTTTAATTTTGTGAAGTAACACCGCTAACGAATGATTTTGTCATACGTCCTAGGCTAAATTAGGATTTGGTCAAAATCCAAATGTGTTTCGACAATATTCTAATTTGACTAGAGATAAATTCATACAATTACGTGTTTTATTAGAAATAGAGTAGAATGAAACACAAGAGAGAAAAACTGTAATCATAGCGATTACGTCGATAAGCAGTCGTAATATAGACGTACATGTTACAATCTAATCAAAATATTGTCTAAATTGAATTAAAAATTCATCCAAATAGATAATAACAAATCAGGTGTGATAGTGTGGAATAAGAGTAAGATTTAGTATATACTCACAATCACTCTTACTATCATACCTACTTTCGAGGTAGTTATACAAGTATGATGAATAAACTAAAGTGTTTTAACTTGTAAATCGTTTGATGAAATCAAAAGATATTATTGAATAAAAAAAAACTAGTTATTCTATTGACATTTTATCTGTTTTTAATGAATAAATTTATCTACAGTCGAATTTCGATTTTATTGGCAATATATATATATTTGAAAATATTTTCATTTATATATTTGTAAAAAACCAACTTTCATTTTTTGAACTCAAAAATTCCTTCTTAATCTGACATTAGTTCTATACAAAGTTAATGCTAATTACAAAATATATTCTCAACTCTAACTATAGAAAAAAAATATCAAGTATTAGAATAAATAGATTTAAATATAGAACGAATAATTTTAATTATATAATAACACTCCAGGATAATACTTCAATTGATTCTGCTGAAATTTATGATGATGAATTAAACGATCAAACAAACAACTCATCATATCATAACACTCCTCATCCTATAAACTCATCAAAATCAAAGGAAAAACATGATATACTAAAGATTATTGGACTGATATTTGGAATCATTCTACTTATTGGTCTCATTGGTGGTGTTAGTTATTTTCTCATTCGAAAACATTACTTTAAGAAGTCTTCATCATCAACAATGAACATTGAAAACGATGGAAAAGATTCATATTCTCTTAGTACAAATCAAAGTCAACAATCATTAACTGTAACATCAACAAATGAAACAAATACACATGTACCTATGAATGTGTCGCCACAAGAAGAACAAACTTTTGCTAGATTACAACCACCCGATAGAAATAAACGACAAAGAACTGATACTAGTATGATTTTTAATGAAGATATGTGATTGTATATGATTTCTTTTTGATAATCAATTATTTCTGTTTTATCAAAAATCGAATGTTAAATAAAACTTTGAATAAAATTTTAAACAAAATCTTTTCTCGGTATTTTTTTGATTGGTATTATTTGAAAAAATAAGAACTAATTTACTTGTTTTTGTTCTTCTAAACCGATATTTATATTTGATTGTAAGTTTCAAATAACTTGTCGAACGATGGTTCAAAGTATTTCAATGTTCATATATAAAATTCAAAATCTATTATTGAAACGTTATATTTATTTATGATAGAAACATAATTAACAGTCTTTTAAAAAGACGTATCAATTTATCAGGTAATCTGATTGTAAATGCTTTAATCTATTCAGATAATTGTTTAAGGTAAATATTCTTTCGATTTCTTACTTCAGTTATAATTGTCTGCCCGTTTTTTAACTTGTTGTGGAAATGATGGAATAAGCCAATAAAAACTCTTATGTGAGATATGATCTTGATGATATCAGACAACACATGTTGACCGTAGATTTCTACTATGTTTATTCATCCAAGTAAATGCATCTTGTCTTTGCCTTCAACATTGACAATTTTCATCCAATAATGATAGCCACCACCACTGATATTTTCTCTACTGCATTGTTCTGATGATTGTGTCCAAGTACGAACTTCTAACTTGTTTCTTCCACTAATATTCTGTCCAGTCATGAATAAAGCAAGAGAAAGATTTCGTAGATTCAATGGTGATATGTCATTTGGATGTCCATCTATAATGCCAGCTGCCGTCATTCTATCTGCCATAGGTGGTGCTAATTGGAAGACACTATCGCTATCCGATGGAGGAATACCAATAAGAAAAACTCAATTCGGATTAACTTTATTAACAATAATATGATATGCAATTAGGCGATCTAACATCAAATCAATATATTCCTGTTGCCAGTCGGCTGAGCAACGTGGCATATGTCAGACTGAACCATTTTCATTAAGCTTTATATCTTCTTCATTTATTGATACTTCACAACCATTCGTAACAATTCATAAACTACGGCCATTGTCTGCTTCCTCTCCATCATTAGTACATTGAGACCATCGAAATATTTTACTTGATGATGTATAAATAAATGTTCGTAAATTGAATTCTTTTTCATAATCTGTTTTTTTTTCGAATGAACAAATTTATTCCATATTTCAGTAAGTGTATCATTAACTTCTGTTATAGTTAGACCAGGTAGAACGTCTTTTCTCTAAAAACAATCGAGAGTGTTTCTATTCTATTTTATTTCATTTTAAAAACTTATCTCTTCATTCAATTGTTGATCATCTCCTTGATTAAAGGCAATTTCTGACATTCCGTTGATAGCCGAAAAAAAGAATAATTCATGTATTGTACACTCACGCTAGTAAAAGAAATTTGTTAAATGCAAATACATATTTTATAGTATTTGTAATCTATATATACAATTGAACTACATGAGAAACATTTAAATAGTTGATTGAACATCATAGTTGTCATTTTTCAATCATTATTCGTTTCATTCTGCACACATTTACTATATGAATTCAATATTCTGAATAAAATTTGTTTGCTTTAGAATCAAAGTATAGTTATTGTTCACATTTAATAGAAGTATAATAGTATGTTTTGTTTTTGGTAGAAAGGAATAAAAATCTTTGTTTTTTTTAATGTTCTGTAAAAGAAATAGAATCGAATATTAATAAATGTGATTTTTTTTGAGAAAGGCATAATTGTTTTACATATCCTGACCATCATACAAAATAACATATGATTTAACTCTTTTTCAATGAATTTTCTCCATGTATTGTTTGAACTTACGAGGGAAGGTCCCCAAGTGTGAGTCTCCGTTTCGAGTCGGGTATTTGTCATTTTGTGAAGCTCAGTGAGTACAGTAATTGTGTATAAAGGATTTCTGCCCATGGTAAACTTTTCAGGAACAACGAGGTTCCATACATTCTGAAAAATCATCATAAGACTCTTAAGTGAAGGCTAGAATTTTAATATTGTAAGGATAAAACATAGTATTGTTCGGGCCAATCTGGGGTTATCAAGGATGCTCTTTCATATGGCTCGAATAACAATGTATTCCGTCCTTATAATAGTAGAGTTAATTTGTTCTGTAGCTCATAGAGGACAACGTTTTCTATGAACCACTAAAAAATTCACTTTACTATTTTAAGGACAAGGTGTTGTTTGGGCCATATGAAAAAGCATCCTTGATAACCCCAGATTGACCCAAACAATACTATGTTTTATCCTTACAATATTAAAATTCTAGCCTTCATTTAAGAGTCCTATGATGATTTTTCAGAAGGTATGGAATCTTGTTGTTTCTGAAAAGTTCACCATGGGCAGAAATCCTTTATACTCAATTACTGTACTTACTGAGCTCCACAAAATGACAAATATCCGACTCGAAACGGAGATTCACGCTTGGAGACCTTCTCTCGTTAGCGTGATCATATTAAAAGAGTCAAGGGTCTGTTTTCTTTTATTTAATCGATCTTTCGATTTTTGTTATCATTATTGATATAGAAAGCAAATATTATTTTATTCTGGTTAAATTCAAATGAATAATCGAAGTAACATGTGGTCATTTTCACATTGATATCACTCGCCAAACACAATATATATTTATATATATATATGATCGATAGTTTCTACCATTTCTTCTATAACATCAAACCATATTCAAGGACACTTAACTCAATACTTGAAAAAAATAAGGTAAATTTAATAGTAGTCTTATCGACACCTTTTCCTATTTGAAAATTTTAAGTATTAGTGCTAGCATATTATACTTGTATATAAATTTCGATATTTTCTTTTTGTACAGATCATGAATTATTTGTTATTCATTTCGTGTCTATTTGCTGTCTGTTTGGCTGCTACTTATGGTCAATTCTTTTTTCCAACAACTGGCCGAACAACTGCTCGTCATACGGGAACAACTGGTCGTCCAACTGGTACAACTCCAAGTAGTGCATTATCATGCGTTTGTTCATGCTGTTCTGGTTTCCGTTGTAAACCAATGTTTCTTCAATCATTCATTGATACAACATGCACAACAAAAGCATGCAAAGACAAATGCAAAGTATTCGAACCAAAACATTGCGATCATACACTTATGGGTAGCAATGATGCTTATTGTACTGTTCTACACTAAGAAAATATAAGTTTTCAACTCTATAAAACTCTTCTATTATGTAGAAGGTTATATGAAAGATCATATATTTTATTTCAAATAAAAAAAAATTATTACTTGGTTTTATGTTATAGACTTAAAGTAAAGAATTATGCTCTTGTTTTTGGTCTGATTCATCTGATAGATTCATAATGTTATCAAACAATTGGATAATTTAGAAAAAAATTTTCTTCATTCAAAAGATATTAAGTTTTGTGTTGTGCTACTAGACACATGATTATGATACGAGATATAGAATAATGCTATAATTCAAAATATTTACTTACGACAATACAAAAGTAGTGGCGGACGTATTTCAATTCTTATAAAAAGCTTAAAGAAACTTGCTCTCTACATAGTCTGATAGCAAAAACAAAGCTCTATTTGTCTATGACATTTTGATTATTCTCCAACTAATAACATAATAAAAATATTTCAATGAGACTTGTTTGGTTATAATGTGTGACGGTTAAATTAGTACATATTCATTTCTACATGTGTCCTCTTCTTGATTTCCTCTTTGTTCTTCTTCTCTATTTTCTTTATTCTTTCATTTAGTCTCCCAGCAAGAAATTTTAACGATTTTAATCGCTAAAATTTTTCACTGGGTGGGTGTGAGAAGACTACATCTGCATCCAAATCCCACACCCACACCCGATTATAATTTGGATTTTGTTTTGAAATAGTCGTGATTAAAATTCTCATATAACTGACTTCAGCCCGATTTTGATGAATTTTTTATACTGTTGTACCGGTTTATAAACGATAAAGTGAAATACAAATAAATAGAGACCTTTCTCATGCAAAAAAATGACGAAAGAATCGATTAAAGTTAGATTTTTTCCGTTTTTTACATGCGAATTATCTGTTCTTCTTCTATTCTACCTGTTAATTTGTTTTAACCTCGTATTACGTGTTAACCAGTTTCAATCTATTATTACTTGTTAATTGATTTTAATCTATTCGTGCTTGTTAATCGACTTATATTTTGTTGTTTGAGTTGCTTATGTTTAGAAGCCATGAAGTTATCACCAAGCTAGATGTCAGCAACAAAAGTAAAGTTGGAAAGGTGTAGGTTAGTGTGGGTGTGGGATGAGAATGTAGGTGTTGGTGTAATTCCAGAGTAAGGCAACAGTCACACCCACACCTACATCCACCCAGACCCATACCCGTCAGATCGATTGACCACTTTGTACATAAAATATGTGATCACATCTTGATTTAGGCCGAAAAGCTATATAAGTAACAGAAGATGGAATGTTTGAATTTCACCTAAAGATTACAATAGAAGGTTTCCTAATTGTGTTTTTCAAAAGAGGTAAATCACACATCAAATTTCAGAAAAATCAAAGTTCTAGAAGACGAGAAAAATAAATTGAATATTTTTGAATTTCTTAGAAACTGATAATTTCGGAAAATTTATGAAATAATATTTATTTGAAAAATAATTTTAATTTATAGTATTGAAGTATTATGTTATGAATCCATCAGAAAAAATAATTTATTGCGCTCATTTTAATTTACTGGTATTTTATCATGTTGCCACACAGAATACCGACTAGCTAACATTTTTCTCATTCTTCCCTCATGGCAATTAAAATGATTTACTCTTTCCTTTTTTTAATATATTTAACTCCTTGTCGGGTGTGGGTGAAGAAGAGATACACCCACACCCACACCCACACTTACATTCACATCAACACATACCCTATGAAATATAAGATGGATAATATTATACATACTGACGCACGCTCGCATCCAACTCCACAAGCACACGAACACTACTTATCCACACTTCGCTTGCAGCACACCTTGAGATTTCTTTTCTTTTCTTTCAAGCGAAAATGTAATATTCATAATGGTTTCTGTTGACACAAATGGAGAACGAAAAGAAACAACAGCACGAAACTCCAAAAAACATATTCACTGAAATAACTCATGCACACTGTGGTATAGACAACCACTAATTTCACGGGCAAAATTCTGTGAACATTTGTTACTAATCATTCTGCTCTCATATTCTTGCGATTACAACGTTTTTGATTAGGTAAGTGCATATTCAGATTTCATCAGTTACCTGTTGATTTGAACTAACCTGGTTGACATTTAATATTGGATAGCAGTATTGAGAATATGGATGTGACTTTGTAGTTTAAGAGAACATCTATATCAATACATATACTCACGCTCACACTGAGGGCTTAATGCATGATATCAGACAAGTTCATTCAGTATGTACATACCAAGACGAAGAAAGCACTGAATATCCACATTCAGGAATGCTGCAGATTGGTATTTTGAAAGATAAGCTGAAGTCAACCAATTCTCCAATAGAACCAATCAAAAAGCATTATTTTCGACGGATTTACAAAAAGTTATCCAGTTGACGAGTACTAAGATTGCGCCATTGTCGACTAGTATTACATTCTTCCGAAAGGAGTTATAGATCCATATCAATCATATGTCATCTCGAGGATCATTAAAGTGGTAGAAGATGGACAAGATGGAACCTATGGATAAGATGCGCAAAAGACCTCATGAAACCATCTTCGAATAGTCCCTATCTAGCTAGTTACTAATGAGTTACCAAGTAAATAAAAAGTGAAGGTAAGAGACAACCACTACATGAAACACTTCACTATTCGGTTACTACAACAAAAATAATAGAATTATTAAGTGCTTCTTTTTAAGCCTTTCTTCTATATATTGTCATATTGCTATTCTTTTGTGTGCTACACTTTTACTTGAAGCATTTGCATGACTACGTCGACTTTTCGGTTTGTAATAGTTATCAATCATGAAAAACTGCTCAGGGAATCAGAAAATGGGAAAAAATAATGACTTTTCATCAAAATTATGACAAACTCTTGCCGGACAAACGACACAAAATGAAAGCGTTCCATGATGAAGAGCATGCGCTAAGTAAGATACTCTGATTTATTTCATGAAAAATCGAAGTCATGAAATTATTTTAATCAAAAATGCTCACTTTGGTCAACAAACTCAATCATTTTTATCTTCAGACTTACTGACTGTTCTCTACATTTCTTGTTGAATCCACTCTTCTGTAAAATCCAGGTTGCTGATTGATTTTGTGCTTGCTTGACTCCAAATTGACCAATGAGAGCTTTTCCGCACTGGTCAAATTTATTTTTGCTCAATAGGAATGAATCAATATTTTAGAGAGTATACCATATTCCTAGTGAAACGATGAGCTATAGTGCAGTATGTTTTTACAAAAAATTATCATTGTCTAGTTACAATAATGAGTTTTTCTAGACATCCTATTTCTGTTTCTATGAGAGGCAAGTATCACTCACAAGTTGTGTTAACCAACATTTGCATATTCCAAGAACAAGGACCTAAATGAAAGTTTAGAGTTTTTCAGTGTCGTTTACTGAGATTCGTATGTTGAAGAAAATATGTAACTCTCTTCAAGAGCTTACGGCTCTCATGGTGATGCGTGTGATCATAGTTGAAGATATGGATGACGTGATACCTGTGTGGATGTTAAATAAAATCCCCAATATAGCTTACTAGACGAAAGTATTCTCAATAGAACTGATTATGCTGATATAATGTCAATCATCATACTACACACATTTTCTACTTATTTTTTCAAACGTCGAAGTGAAGATACCGTCACGAACGTAGTCGAGGTCGTTTAGGCAATTCCGCAGGATCTACGAAGATATCAGCAGCTTTTTTGCATCCTATCGAGACGTCTAAAGGAAGCGAAACTTTCCAGTCAAAACGTTTCGTTTTTATACTAATTATGTGCTTGTTCCTGCTCGACCTCCGCACCTTAGAGTCAGACTTTGTACTCCAAGGTTTACCTGTTATTGTAGAAGTCTTTCTGATGAGAATAGAAAATTCTCTGTGAACAACATGATCTGAAATAATTACAATATCTGTACCTTCGTCTAAGAGGAGCATTATGCTAATCGTCGATTAATCAAGGCCAATATGAACATGGAAAGTTGCCTATGTCAACTGGAATGACTTGCAATGGAGTAATCTCCGGCCAAACCATACTAGAAGCTAGAATGAGTCAGTCGAAGCTGCAATCAGCCTACTTTCTCATGTTGATCTAAAATTCGACTACACCAATCGATCATAATATAAGCACATACACAGTGAGAAAGACTTTTGTAGAGTGGAGTTTAGCATAGACTCCAAGCAGGAGCCATGCTAATTAGTTTTACAACGAGTTAGAGCCACTTATTTCAATTTTACAGTAGCTGTTGCGTTCTGCCACTATTGACTGGAACACTTTGCATCTATGACAAACATATTAATCAGTTTTACGAGCACACATCACTATATGACAGATGCAGTTTAGAGCTCTTCGCTTTGAAATATTCATCGGGTAAGCAAATGTGGAAGCAAGAGTAAATTGTACAAGAATTGATAGACATTGTTGATTAGTGCATTGAGTGAGAAATGGTCAAAACCTATCATAAACATAAGTAGAAAACATCGCAGATATCTTAAGCATATAACATGAGAGAACTAGTGAGAGAGTGTAAGAAAAGTACTACTAATAGTTAGCTGGTGAAGGAAAACGATCATGAATTGATCAGTGCTAGTAGGATCCTATATCTTCACCCTGTAACGCTACAAATGACTTGACGAAGTAAAATGATAAATTGAATCAAACAAGTGAAATGTGTCTCTGTTAGTTCCACTTGATGGACTCAATTTGATTTACAGGCGAGTGATAAATCATATCTCCATCAATAAGAAGTTCGCATGCTGCCAAATAGATAATCCCCACAAAATTGATGGCAACTGTGATTGGTCATCAGTAGCCTACTTTGACGTAGATGAATCCAAAATTTGGCTAAAAGTATCAGTGGAATGGATGTGATATTAGTCTGTTTCTAAGTCTGCATAATAATATGCACGCATGTCTTATCCTTATCTATTTCTCGATTGAGAAAATAATTTCGACAGAATATGATTCTTCAGTAGAAATGAGT